ACTCTTTCCTCCGTTTTGTAAATGACTTGGGCAGATCCAAATTTAAACAAACAAATCTGCAGCTTCCACAGTTGGAGCTGCAGAGTGTATCGAAATCCACATGAAATCCCGCTCTCCTTAGTAATTTCTTAAACAATATTCTTGTACAGTTGGAGGCAATTTTTAAAAAAGAAAAGGCACTTGCCTGCCTTTAATACATTGTTACAAAAAATTAATTACAAAAATGTAGCATCAATGTGGATTAAATGACTCCAGGTCCCTAATATTCTGCTAGCTTCTTTTAGAGCCCTGCTTTGAAATACTGATTTTCTTAATTACCTGTGGCTCATCCACTCTGCCATGTTGGTTTGTCCAAAATATACTGTGGTGCTAACAGAGTACAAAAAAAACAGTCCGTAAACGGTATATTATTCAGGCATAATTAGCACACGTCTAAAAAGGTTCACTGTTCTAAGTTAATTATGTTCCTTCCACTTACTGTAAATGGCAGGTGGCTGATCCAAGACAATAAGGAATGCCAGCAAGCGAGATTGCACTAACATATGTCAGATGTTACGTTTTACGATTACTCTGGGAGGAGGCTGTGGTGATAACAAGTAACATAATGAGAAAAATCAGTGAGGAAGCAAAGAAAAAGGCTCCCAGAAAGTAATTCAAACAAACACCTGAGACTCATATGAGATTAGTTTAGGCCATCGAGGGCAATAACAAGAAATTAAAATCAATGTTGCTGAGGCTTCAAAGAGACAATTTGAAATGAAAACATGATAGGAAATCTTTTGCTGTTTTCGGTTACGTAATCCAGCCCAGGAATTTGTCATGTTATTTGAGCAAAGAGCTTCCCCCCTACAAGTGCAATTTTTGATTGGGTACAGATTACGAGGAAGTATCAAGAGTAAGGGTAAGGCTCTGACCTGGATAAACAAGGCAAACCTGATCTTGTTAGATCTTGGAAGCTAAGCATGACTGACCCTGGCAAGCATTTGGATGGGAGACCTCCAAAGAATGCCGGGGCCAGGAGACAGAGGCAGGCCATCAAGCCACCTCTCTGAACATCCTCCATGCCCCAGTAGGAGTCGCCAGAGGTTGCCATGACTTCCAGGCATAGGCACACATGCACACAAAGCAAGAGTAAGGGTAAGCCCTCTATAACGTTTTGATTAATGCTTTTGAAGGAACATAAAAGATGCTTTTAATATACCCATATAAAGCTCTGTGACATAGCAGCCTTTTCTTTCTTGGTTCCATGGAGAAAGCTATACTTCCTGGTAATCTGCAGTTGTCCTGATAACAAATAATGCTTCCCAAGAGTGCGTCCTCTGTAGAAGGAAAGGTTAAGGTTAGGGAAATTAGCTTGGAAGAATGTCCACATGGTGGACATGAGTACAATGGTTTTTAAGAGCAATTTTTAAAGCAATTTAAAGCAAGAATGGGATTGAGAACTTTGCTTGATTTACCTCAAAATACAAATGCATTTGGCTTGATTTACTAGGAGACATATTCTAGTATAGTATTAACACTAATATCTCTGAATTATAGTGAGTTTCATTTGAAGCCAAGTTTTCAGTTATCAGCAAGATACCTTCCCCCTGTCCTCCACCAGGCCACTTCGCTGACCTGAACAGGGCCTTCTGCAGGTGCCACCCTGCAAATGGGCAAGATAAACATATGCATTCTGTACATATTGTGGCCCCTACTTTATTCCTGATGAGGCTAGGAAGATTCCCACTCTCCTGGTGTTCTGCAAACTGTGCAAAACTGAATTATTCAGGAGGGCATTTTTATGCAGGTAACAGGGCTACACTGTAAGAGCATGGTTCAGGAAGATGCTTTAGTGAAAGGATAGGGATTGTAGACGATACTAGATATACTGCTTATATCTGTTGCTGTTTGTATGATCCTACTATGTAATTTCTGCATCATATAACTTGTCATGTTAATATTTCACTTTGTTCCAGCTCTGTTTCAGATTTCTGCAATTCTAACCCTGTTACATTTGTTTATTAGATGTTCCATCCTGTTCATTGTATTGATTTACACTGTGTAATCTGCTTTAAATCTCAGTGAGAAAGGCGGACTATAAATAACATAAATAAAAATGTACTGTAAGAGGTGCACAAGGCACTAGCTTAAAAGGATGAAGAGATTGCTCTGAGGCCAACCATGCAAGCCCAAACAACGCCAATATTGTGTATATATATCCAATTTTTAAAAAGAAAAATGCCCTTTTTAAAATATGAACATTTATATTGTAGATTATAATATCTGACAATGAGAGTGAAGATTTACCAAAGTATGAAGAGTGTAAAGACTGTGGTTTCATACACAAAGGTAAATTAAGACAGTTGCTCTTTCAGTGGCTCCATCTTTGGGTTAGACAAAGCTGCTTGCATTTATGTATCAGAACCCAGGTCTTCACTCGTTTATTGCTCTGAGTTTGAACTGGAGACAGAGAGGTTCCTACAGACCTGTAATATATGTAACCCAAAACACTGATGATAAACAAAAAGTGTCTGTGTTACTTTTGTTGTTTTCTTTGTTCATGTTATAATGTAGAGCAGAAAATAGCAAGCGTTATACCTCCAAGTAAGATGAACAGCAGTGGTGATTAGAAACAGTCTCCCTTTTGACTTAGTCAGGTCACACCACACAGGGCTTCGTAAGAAGATAACTGCTTATTAGTGGTTCCAGTACTAAAGAACACGTGTACAGATTGTGTCAGGAATACCCATCAGTATAAGGGCCTTTGACTTATAGCGAAATCAAAACACCCCCCTGTGAGCATAAGCCAATGGTTATAGTTTGCGCACGCGGGCGCAAGCAAGCGGGCAAAGCGTAAAAGCCGTTAACCTTCCCAGCCGAGGAAAGTGCAGCTGGCGACTGCAAGGTCAAGCATGAGATAGCACACAGAAGCTGGACAGGGAAGAGCTGAGAACAAAGAGGAGGTGCACCCCTCCAGGTGTGCTGGGTGGAGTGTATATAGTTGGCCTTGCAGGGCTGTTTAGTTAGTCTTGTTGTGAAGTACAATAAACGCGTCTGAACGCATGTCATAGTCTGAGTCCTCCATGTGTCAAACCCAGTACTTTACACACTGGCATAAAACATCTTTAGTAGATTGCCACAAAAGTCTTTCTGCATCTTGAATACATGGATTTGTCCTTGCATAGGCTACTAGAGACCTTGCACAAGGGCAGCACTGCAACATTCTTCTTGGCTGCTGCTCATCAGTGACAGTCTGATTGCTCATTGTGTATCTGAAACAGCTGCAGATGACAGTCTACACCTGGCAATCCCAAGCAAGTCTACTCTGAAGTAAAGCCTATTGAGTTCAATAGGACATACTCCCAAGTTAGCATACATAGAATTGTAGCCTTTGTCATGTAGAGATTTGGTCTACACAGTGTGATATGTTTTTACCAATGTTTCAGTGCCAGGTAGCTTGAAATTCAAGCCAAGAAGAAGCCCGAAGAAGAAGCCCAAAGATGAACAAAACCTATTGAGGCAGACTCAGCATGGGTTCTGTAAGGGAAGATTTTGTCTCACTAACCTGTTAGTGTTCTTTGAGGGGGTGAACAAACATGTGGACAAGGGGGATCCAATAGATATTGTTTACCTTGACTTCCAGAAAGCTTTTGATAAAGTTCCTCATCAAAGGCTCCTAAGTAAGCTCAAGAATCATGGGATCAAAAACTGGCTAATTAATAGAAAATAGTCTTCATGGTGCTTGGGGGGGGGTCAACAGTGGGAGGGCTTCTAATGTCCTGGCCCCACTGGTGGACCTCCTGATGGCACTGGTATTTCTGGCCACTGTGTGACACAGAGTGTTGGACTGGATTGGCCTTTGGCCTGATCCAACATTGGCGTCTCTTATGTTCTAACGGGGCCTAAGTCACATAGCCATCTCTTCCTTCAAGAAACTTTACCACAAATTACAGGTAGCTCCCACATGCATCTGCAGTCTGTACCAGCTCATCCAGTTAAATATGTGCTGAATAACTTTGCATATTGTTTTTTTTAATGTTCAAATTAGGTGGAAATAAACAGATGCAGTGTGATAAAAAAACACACATTCAGCTTGACCTAATGTCCTGTGTAACTCCTGAGAAAAAGGATTTGTGTCGAACAGATTCCATAAGGTGAGTGTACTGGAATTCTCAACAGGCAGCCTTTTGAGTTCCACAGCATTTCCAATGGAAAAAAACATCACAGTAGGTTTTAAGGGCAAGGAAATGGGGTTGAACTAAGCAGTCAAAGATATTGATGTATTTAATTGACTCAATCAAATATATTGAAATTAGTTTGCTTTTTACTGAACAGAAAGTAATGGAAATTTGTTAGATCTGGCACTTGTGGGCACTATTTATTCCAGTGGACAAGGATGAAAACACTTTAAAGGATAAGGCAGAACATCTCTAAAACAATGAAGGAGGTTGTTGCAAAACATGCAAAGCAAACTGCTTTATAGAAGAAGACACTTTGATAGGAGTTAGGTAGTAAACATAAATCAGGAAGATTTTTCATGTGATACGCATCAGACATATCCTGGAGTCCTTCATATCTAAACTGAGATACATTGTTAACATTTTCACTAGGTGAAATTTTGTGAAGTGACAAAAACTGGAACTCGTTTCAAGGGAGTTGGGAGCATGTTGAATATTAGGCCCAGTTCATTTGTTAAAGTGGGCATAATGGGAAGATCTGAACACACATGAACACATGAATCTGCCTTAAACAGAATCAGATCATTGGTCCATCAAAGTCAGTATTGTCTATTGAGGCTGGCAGTACCTCTCCAAGATTACAGATGGAGGTCTTTCACATTATCTACTACCTTGCCCTTTCACCTGGAGATGCTGGGGATTGAACCTGTGACCTTCTGCATGCCAAACAGATGAGCATGCACTGAGCCACAGCCCATCCCTGAACCCTCGTATCCTTTTGCTATTCCTACAAAAAAAAAATTCCAAATGCACTGATGACTTCTAGAATCCTTCCCCGTCGCACAACCCCAACAAAACCAAAGCAAGGAACTTGCATTTAACTATGTCATATAGTGAGGTATGAAGTGGCTGCAGTTGCTGAAAGAACAAGTAGAATACAGTGACATTCATCAGTATTGAAGTTTTGATCTGCCTGTAACTGAATATAGATTCATCAAGGTATAGTCAATGTAAAAGTTTAGCTCTGTGAAGCAGTGACAGAATCCTGAAGTATGTTCTTTTGTCTCCCCATGGGATTCGTACAGTTAGACCCATTTCACACAAGAGCTGCGCCGCGGTCGCGCCTCCCTTTGCCCCGCTTCTATTGGTCAATTTCCCATTCGAAGCCACGTGGCCACATTTTGATCCGCGGCTTTGCCCGATTTTCCCCACGGTTTCGTGATGCTGTTTTTTGAGGATCACGAAACCATAGGGAAAATCGGGCGAAGCCGCGGGTCAAAATGCAGCTGCATGGCTTCTAGTGGGAAATTGACCAATAGAAGCGGGGCAAAGGGAGGCGCGACCGCGGCACAGCTCTTGTGTGAAATCAGTGTCTGTGTCTTCCACAACTGACCATGGGGCAAAGCCGTCCAAATCACCGTGTGTTACTTGGTTAAAAGTTGGTCTTCATTTGCTTTGGGTATAATGTTTGAAACTTGATCTTTGTGGTATCTTATTTCAGTAGTTCAACAGAGGGATCTAAAAAAGGTGACAAGGAACAAGCCCTTGTTGGTATTGAGGATTTTAATGTTGCAGTGCCACACAGACAGGCGCCTTCCCAGAGAAGTCTTGAAAACAAAATGATTGAAACATTAACAGATCATATAAAGTAAGTATTCCTAAAGACCTATCTACACAGGGGAAAGTTTTGATGTCCTTGTTCCCTAACAAAGAACTTCCTGACATCTGATTCCATGATAAATATGAATCAAGAAGGTATCTGAGTGATCCCTTTTTCTGGATTGGAAAATGTTTACTGAATTATATACTGTGTGCAGTCAGTGTTCAGCTAGACCAGTGCTATATCTTCCTGATGAGATCTTCCGAAGTTTATAGGAATTGTTTTCAAATGCTTTCATACTACCTCTGTCAGGGCTTTTTGTATTATTTTGTTGAAATTTACTATAGCCACATAGAAATGAACCCTTTCAAATAATGAATTAATAATGAGCATAATCTGTTTAGTGAATACTGAAAGACTTCACCCATGTAACTAAAAGCACATTTGAACTTCTCTTGTTCCATTTGTAGTCATGGTACAAATCTCTGTCTTGCACAAGAGATATCTGTGAACCTGCAAAAATGCTCACTTGCCTAGAGAGTTGTACATTGTACATGCATTGTGCATTGGCTTGCATTTCTGTAGCATTTGCATTCTTGTACTGCCCATTCGTGAATTGTAGAGCTCCCAAGCAAGAACGGGAGCACTTTGCCTTGCCAGCTGCACAGCATTTCCTTTCTTCCTGCTTTGCTTTTTTCTACATAAATATTCCCAGTCCAGTTACCTTTATTGGCATGTAACCCTTGCAAACCCAAATACAAAAAACCCACCAACAACCACAGCATAGAACATAAATATTCATAGAATTGTGATTTAAATTTGCTGTTACTTCAGGTTTGTCTGATATGTTTAATTACTGACTTTAAATTATATTTTAATGATTGTATTGGCTTATTGTTCATTGTGTATACTGAAAACTGCCTTGGCTGTAGTTTTATAGAGAGGTAGTATAAAATGTTTCAAATAAATGAACGAATAAATAGGATTCATTATTTTGTACCTATGATAAACATACCTGTTTAGATAGTAATGTTTTTGTTGTTTTCTAGAGAGTTCCTGCTGTATTTTTTACCTAAATGTTCTTATTCAAGAGAATACCTTACGTCTATGTCCACTGAAGATATTTTATCTATGTTCAAGGTAAGTGGGCATTTAAATTAAATGTAAATACATTTAAATTCATGAATATGTGCCGTGATTTATAATTAGACATTAGAGAACAGCAGCATTTAATCACATACACATAATCATCCTAATTATTCTTTGTGTGCTCCACCCTAAATATGTATTTTTTTGCCATTTGGAATTTCTGAATTTTATTTATTTGTTTATTGGTAAGCAGAAAAGTTAAACTGAAGTTAAACTGCCAGGTTAAACTAAATTCTGAGATTTCCATGCACTATGCAGATTTATATTTTTCATACATAATGGGTTCTACTTATTGTGGAATAGGGCAAGAAGCTATGCAACCTTATACCCTGATTAGTGGGAATCATATTCCAGGTAGGTTACAGTAAGCTGCTATGACAGACTCCTGTCTCTTTCCCAACACCCAGGCAGAATTTCCCCGCCAAAAATATTTTAGTTCCCCTCAGTAACTGAGTCACCCTCCGGTAGTGTATTGTTGGATCCCCAGGCATTCGAAATAACTCCACGTTTGATTCAAAGCAAGGTTTATTTCAAAGCAATGGTTCAAGCAGGAACAAGGACATTGTTAGGAATGACTACCAATACACAGGTATAACATAATAAAGGGATTTGAACCAGGTTAGGGCCAATGAGCCCAGTTCCCGCTGGCGGGAATAGAACTTGGAAACGCGCGCCCATTTCATGGGAACGTAACAGTTCAGTAAAATCAACACAGGTTCAGTTCACAGGGTAGATACCCATAACAAGCTGAGCGAAGCACCGACTCCCACCACCAGCTGCATGACCTTGGCCAGTTCCGCAAAGTACAGAGAAGCATAATGAAGCTACAAAAACCAGGGGGGGGGGAGAGCACAAGACGAGTTAAGCAGGTAACACCAGATATAATGGCAGCTAGCTGACATATTGCCTCCTCAAAAATACACATTATTCACCCCCTCCCGGATTCGGCGGGAGACCTCCCGGTTTGCCCGGGAACTTTTTGTGAAACTCTCTGAGCATGTAAGGGGCCCGAATATCCCCTTCTTCCACCCATTCTTGGTGCTGGGGTCCGAAGTCCACCCACCGGATGAGATACCATAATTTACCACGTTTAATTCTGGAATCTAAGATGTCAGCGATTTCAAAATGCTCCTCCCCATCGAGCATGATAGGCGGAGGGGATTCACGTGCAGGCCTCCATTTGCCATGGCCTGTGTCCTTCTTCAAAAGACTCATGTGAAACACAGAATGCAAAGACTTCAAATTCTTAGGCAGTTCAACATCTACAACAACATCATTTATAATTCGACACACCCTGAAAGGACCAATGAATTTCCAGCTAAGTTTCCTACAAGGACGCAAAAGTTTGATATTCTTGGTAGATACATAGACAAAATCACCAGGCTTGAGGTCCCAACCCTCCACCCTCCCTCGATCAGCCTGAGTTTTGTATGCCTGCTCCTAGAGCAGCTTTGAAAGGAGACATGTTAATGGAATTGTGTAACGTGTTGTTGTAACAATATTCGGCCAATGGTAGCAAGTCACACCAGTCATCCTGTTGATAATTGGTAAAACAGCGTAAATACTGTTCAAGAGTCTGATTAACCCTTTCGGTCTGGCCGTCGGTCTCTGGGTGGTAAGCGCTGCTCAAACCCAATATTTCTTCTTTGTTTGATAAGCTTAAATTGTCCCACCCTGTCACAGATATTTGTTTAGGCTTTAGACCCAGTACAGGAACTTGATGAAAAGACAGAAGCTGTCCTGTTTTATAAACCCTTGTGAAATGGCACTTGAGGCAGATTAATTTTCAAAAACAGAATAAAGATTTAATTAAACAGGCAGGGAATACATAAATATGAGGAGGTTGCTTGCTGAGATTAAACCTTCTAATATATACAGAATTGAGGCTTTTGAAGATACAAGCAGGCCTGTAGCTACGGTGGGGCCTCTCGGGGCCCGCTCCCCCCCCAACTTCCTGCCAAAGCCCCACGACCCTCTGGGCTGCTCAGAGGACCCTTTGCCACTGCCCCTTCCCCAAGCACATGTATCCCAGCTGGGGCATCAAAAGACACTGGGGGGCTTCATCCTGCCAAGCCTTGACCAGGTGCCACCACGGGCCAGAGGGAGGGGTGGACCTGCAGAAAGAAGAAAAAACTGCCAATCCCAGCCCCTCCCCTCCTGAGGAAAATCACTTCTGAGGAAGGCAGGCCACTTGGGAAGACCAGAAACATGTCTTTTTTCTTTTCTTTTTCTTTTTTTTTGCCTTCTTCTCTGCTCTGCCTGTCATGCTCCAGCTCGTCTTTGGCTGCCAGAGGCAGCAGCAACGACGACAAACAAGAATGTTTTGAAAGTCCTGTCAGGGCTCCTTTCCCTGTCTGCCACTCTTTTTTGCTGTCCTGCCCTCCTTTTTGCTCTACTGCGCCCCTTCACTCTTGTTGTCTCCGCATTCTTCTTGACCAGTCTGCATGCCTCCCTTTCACCTGAGGCCACCTCCTCCTGCTGCTGGCTCCACCTGCCTGGCGCCCTCTTTTCCTGCCCAGCTTCCCACTCACTCGCTGACCCCCCCAGCCCAACCCCCTTGTGGGAGCCTCTTGCATGCCTCCCTGTCTCTTCTCTTGGTTGCCAGGCTGTCTCTCTGCCTCCTGTCCCCACTGCTTGCATTGCTGCCGCTCTCACTCTT